AATTGCATGGTATTGTGCACTCAGACATGCGCTGCCATAACGAGCAAATTGCGGTACAGAAGATGCAGCGTACTGTGTAGTCACATGTACTGACACAAGCTTCACAAACCTTCCACCCTAGAGTTGAAAGGCCTTGCTGCTGCAGACGGAAAACTCAGAATTTCACGTGCTGTGCTCGAGCCTCAATGATCTACGGAAAGAAGTGGCTTTTTACACCTTGAAAGAGACCGAACACGGACCTGCATCTTCCGCAAGCAGCTTGCAAGGCCCCAATGTCAGGGTGTTCAGGCTTGCATGCCTGAAGCTCCTGTGTGCCATATGGTTTGTTTCTGTTCCTCACCATCATGGCATCTCATTCTTTTTTCTGCTTTCACTGGAGAGGCCCATTATTGATTCCGATCCATTTTCGACCGAACTTGTCTTTGCCCGTGAGGTCCTCAGAAATATTGTTCAGCTGATGCCTGATGTTCCTACTGTCATGAGCCAATAAGCCAGGTGTTGAAGCTGAGTTTTGTTTGGTTTTTGGCACATCCGGGATTCGGACTTGAGGAGCCGACTTCAAGTGGAACAAGAATGCACGCAACAAGAGCTTTCTGTATCCAGTGACCCTGTTTTGGAGGTGGAGCTACAGTCTCCCATGGATGAACACTGGGGTTGTGATGTGTCTAGACCTGAATTTGTGCTAGGTACATCCGACTTTGTCCTTCTTGCAGACGATGTGGCCTCAGATTCTCCGTGGTGGGCCCCTTGCAATATTGCAGCAACCTGCTTGATTCTTTCAAAGATACTCTACGTACCACTCGAGTCCCAAAGCAGTGCGTGACATTCCACACCACTGATATCTTGTTCATTGCCCCTGTCTTAAGGCCAACGCAAAACTCTGCCCTGTACTTGTTGTTGCTGCAGTGGCTACATCGCAATCACGGCGAAGCGTCAAGCCCTTACTGTGTATAAGTTTTTCGCCTCTATCTTGGATTCTGGGGTCCTCCTGATCTTGCCCCTGTGGCTTATCTTCACTCAGTGCTGCCACCGCTGACCATTGCCACGCTCCTAAGGGCAGCCTTGGTAAACAGCATCGCCACTGACGATCGTGGTTGGCTCAAAAAGATCTTTGAGGATTTCCCAAAAATTCTCAAAGAAGTTTTGTCAAAACCACAGCGTCTCTGAACTACTGAGGCTTGGATGCTGGAGAAGCGCAGATCTTCGAGCAGTTGGGAATCATTGCCACATCCTTGATGAATTTACAGTGAGACATAGATGAGATAGTCCGATATCAATGAAGATGTGCTCAGGGCGATGCAGATGCGGACACCTGCGCGATTCGGTCGCTGTGCTCAAGTGCTATCAATGTGTGTAGCTGACTGACTTGTCAATTTGTCAGTGCTACAGCAGTTCTTAATTTTCCGGAATGAAATTTTGAAGTGTTGTGATTGCCGTACTTGTTGCTTTGCTTTGTTGTGATGCCTTGCCACTGGTGTTTTGTCTAATAGTGCTTTCAGGCTTCAGATCACTCTCGCAATGTCCAATGCCCCGGGATTGGAGTGGCCATGGGAGAACTGCAAAGAGGCACTGTGCGAATCTGGCAATGAACACAGTGCCAGCATGCAGAAGCATTCAGACCTCTACTAGTACTCGCACAAGCAAATTGCTCCATTGATCTGCATTGTAAATCACTCATTTTGAAGTACTGGCGAAGGTGCAGGGCTACCTGTACGATGCTTAGAATGTGGTATAGCATTTCTTTGCTGTGCCATTGTGCATTACAGAGCTGTCAGGGTGAAACTGGCGTAGGCATCAAAAAAAAAATAAAAATGCATCAAAAAAGAAATAAAAATGCATCAAAAAAATAAAAATGCATCAAAAAAAAAATAAAGGACGAAAGGAAGGAAGAAAGGAAGAAAGGAAGAAAGCAAGGAAGGAAGGAAGCAAGGAAAGAAAGGAAGAAAAGAAGAAAGACAGGAAGGAAAGAAGGAAGGAAGGAAGACAGAAAGGAAGGAAGGAAGAAAGGAAGAAAGGAAGGAAGAAAGGAAGGAAGAAAGGAAGAACGAAAGGAAGAAAGGAAGGAAGGAAGCAAGGAAAGAAAGGAAAGAAAGGAAGAAAAGAAGAAAGACAGGAAGGAAAGAAGACAGGAAGGAAGACGGAAAGGAAGGAAGGAAGAAAGGAAGAAAGGAAGGAAGAAAGGAAGGAAACAAGAAAGGAAGGAAACAAGAAAGGAAGAAAGAAAAAGGAACCAAAGAAGAAAGGAAGGAAGAAAGAAAAGAAGGAAGAAAGGACGGAGACGAGAAAGGAAGGAAACAAGAAAGGAAAGAAATAATGATGTAATATTACATGCATAAGAGATCATTCAAATTACATGCAGGCATCACCGTAGCAGTTGCGTACTGTTATTTATGTATATGTATATATACATATATATATATGCATTTATATACACACTTATATATTTATATTTAAATATATTTATATTATTTATATTTTCTGTTTATATTTTTATATACATAGTATTTCTATTTATGTTCAAATTCAAATATATATATATATATACTTACATATAGAAATATGTAAATATATACATATACTTATATTTATGCATGTATATATACACTTATATATTTATATATATATTTATGTATTTATATTTATATATTTATATTTACATATTAATATATATATATATTTATGTACTTATATATATATACACATTCATATGTATATACATATAACTGTATATATATATAAATGAGTATGTATCTACAAGTATATATACTGTATTCCACATGTTTCCAGGGTGCATGTCGTGTAGTCTATACACCTTGAGTATCACATTCAAGCCAGCACCTTGCATGTGAAAATAGGTGTTTCCAATCTGCTTTGGGGGGGAGGCGCTGCGCCCTTCCCCTGAATCCCCCCCTCCCGCTTTTTTTAAACTATTTAAATAAAAAAGAAAGACACTTTTCAATACACTATATAGTTTGATTCGACTATATTCATATTTATGTTAAAATTTATGTGTATATATATATACATATATCTAGACATATATATATATAGACACATATATATATATATGTATATATATATGTATGTATATATTTGCATTTATATATGCACATATATATATATGTACTTATATAAATGTATATATATATAAATTAATATGTATATACATATCCATGTAAATATTTATATAATTGTGTATCTCTCAGTATATATATTTACATAAATATATATATAAATATATATATAAATGTAAATATATATATATATTATAATTACACATACATATTTACTTATAGATATACAGACGTATATATATATATATGACATATTTGTGGTTGTTTTTATACACAGCTTTGATCCCAAAATAAACTACAAATAATCACGTAATTATACCTACATGTTGTATCCCTAAACCCTAAACCAAACCCTGCATATACATACATACATGCATACATACATACCTACCTACATACACCTTGAGTATCACATTCAACCCAGCACCTTGCATGTGAAAATAGGTGTTTCCAATCTGCTTTGGGGGGGAGGCGCTGCGCCCTCCCCCCCAATCCCCCCTCTCCCGTTTTTTTTTAAATTATTTAAATTCAAAACTTGCACACTTTTCAATTACTAGTTTGATTCTTTTATATTAATATTTATGTTTATATATATATATATCTAGACATATATATACATAGACACACATATATATATATATCTAATGTATGTATGTATGTATGTATGTATGTATGTATGTATGTATGTATGTATGTATGTATGTATCTTTGCATTTATATATACACTTATATATATATTTATGTACTTATATAAATGTATATATATATATATAAATACATATGAATATGTATATACATATCAATGTGTATATATTTATATAATTATGTCTCTATCAGTATATAAATATATATATATGTTTATTTAGAAATACACATACATATTTACTTATAGATAGATAGACGTATATATATATATATGACATATTTGTGGTTGTTTTTATACACAGCTTTGATCCCAAAATATACTACAAATAATCACGTAATTATACCTACATGTTGTATCCCTAAACCCTAAACCAAACCCTGCATATACATACATGCATACATACATACCTACCTACATACATAGATAGATAGATAGATATATATATATACATATGTATATAGATTGATTGATTGATTGATTGAAGAAAACCATAGAAAACTTGCAGAAAACCATGGAAAATTGAAGAACACCGGGGAAACATTGAAGAAAACAATGGAAAAATTGAAGAAAACCATGGAACAATTGAAGAAAACCAGGGAAACATTGAAGAAGACCATGAAAAAATTGAAGAAAAACATGGAAAAATGGAAGAAAACCATGGAACAATTGAAGAAAACCAGGGAAACATTGAAGAAAACCATGGAAAAATTGGAGAGGCACGAAACCCAAGAAAGGAAGGGGGGAAGGAAGGAGGAAGGAAGGAAAAAAGGAAGGAAGGAGGATATGAGATAACGAAAAGCAAGGAAGGAAAGAAGCAAAGACAAAGAAGAACGCTGCTTCGAAGAAGATACCAAAGAATAATAGGAAAAAGGAAGAATGGCAGCAGGAAGAAGCAGATCGAGAAGGAAGAACGAAGGAAAAAGGAAAGTGTCTTTTTCATCTGACTTTCACACTTTCTCTGATATCCGACCTTCCATCTCCAGACATGCTGTCGCGTCGCATGTATGAGCATCGCGTTATGGAGCAGCTTGCTTGCTGGGACTCGACCCTTTATTCGGTATCTGTTGGGATCTCAAGAGAGTTCTCCAGACGTGTGATCGCCTCGCATGTATGAGCATTGCGTTATGGAGCACCTTGCTGGGACTCTCCCTCTGAGTCGGTATCCCAAGAGTAGTTGTGATTTAATATGCATTGGTATCTGTTGTCTGCTGACAGTCGACCTTTTCTTCGACATCTGACCCTCCCTCCCCTGTCTCCAGACACGTACGAGTCACTTGTATTAGCATACCTCGGAATTTTCTTGTTTGATACGGACCACCTGGATATTGCGGACAGATCGGCAATCGACATCTGACCCTCCCTCCCCTGTCTCCAGACACGTACGAGTCTCACTTGTATTAGCATACCTCGGAATTTATTTTTTTTTGATGCAAATTTTATTTTTATTTTGATGCGTGTGCCACGTTGAAATCTTGGACAGTTCCATAGAAGTCCAGGGGAATATTTTTTTTTGATGCAAATCAATTTTTATTTTGATACTTATGGGGATATTTTTTTTTTGATGCGTTTTTATTTTTTTTTGATCCTTCACCCGTGAAACTGGTCCCAAGGAAGAAGCTATCGCACGTCTCTGCTCGCTGCCGGCTTTCTCTGGCAGAAGAAATTCGAGTGTCACAGTCACAGCTGTAGAGCAATCATTGACCACCTGGACCTGTGTCACCCACGACATCTCACGACTTTCTGGGAGATGCTTTTTGAATTCAAGATTGCTGTGAAGGTTTTCTCATCTGTTCTCCGTTACTAGGCTTCGCATTTGCTCTGATGAGCGCAAACGGAGGGAATTGGTGCGGGCAGAGGTGAAGGCAGAACGCTGCCGACCAATCAGAGCAAATATCTCTTCCAGTAAAAGCAATCTAGCATAATCCAGCCATGTCCAACCGTCCAACCCTCTAATCCAAGAGAATAAGGATATATCTTGACATACCATATAAATATATGATTAATTATATATACGTATATATAATTATATATGCACATACATTCACTATAATATGTATATATATATATATATAATATATATATAAATTGTTATTGTATTTTTTCGTGATCCTTTGTGATGTTTTACTTTTTTTGATGTGTGAGATATTGTGCCATGTCACTAGTGGCTGAGCAGTGCAGGCCATGAAAAGGCAGTTCTGGGGCAACTTGGCTGATCAAAGGTGTTCAGTTTCAAGTGAAGTATCATTTACATCTTCAATTACTGGTTGTGCGCATATGTGTTTATGTTTTGAAATTGCATATCTCTCCACCTCACCTTGTGATACTGTATATACAATATATACAATGCCTCTCTCTTTCGCTATGTATATATATATAATAGTTATATGAATACATACATACATACATACATACATACATACATACATACATACATACATACATACATACATACATACATACATACATACATACATACATACATACATACATACATACATACATACATTACATACATTACATACATACATTACAAACATTACATACATTACATACATTACAAACATTACATACATACATACATACATACATACATACATACATACATACATACATACATACATACATACATACATACATACATACATACATACATACATACATACATACATACATACATACATACATACATACATACATACATAGATACATACATACATAGATAGATACATAGATACATAGATACATAGATACATAGATACATACATAGATACATAGATACATACATAGATACATACATAGATAGATAGATAGATAGATACATACATACATACATACATACATACATACATACATACATACATACATACATACATACATGCACAGTATACACGTTAATACAGACTGTACACATGCGTACATACCACCCACATCCGTACAAATACACATTTGATTCCAGATTTTTCCAACAACGATGTTGACAAAGGCTACTATGGCAAAGTAAAGCTTCAGCTGGGGCCCTCAGTGCAGCAACCCTCACGGTACTGCTTTGGTTTGTGATCTAAAGTTAATGCTGATCTTGACTGAAGCTTTTCCTTGTCTGGTTTGAGACAATTACCCATCATTGACGTTTCATCTCATTGGGCGATGGCTTCTGCAAAGTGCAACCTTAATGAGACCAGCTTAAAGAATGTACAGGGCAAGATGGGTTGTTGGAACAAAAGCAACATTGTCTTTCTCGTCTGCAAAGAATAGCTACGCCACCGATGAGCACTGTTCCTTATCAGAACCATTGGAGGTCTCGTCACACAACAGTCTGTGGTCAACTCATGTCGACACTGCATTTGGTAGACAAAGTGTTGGGACTCTGTTTTCGGAGTGCATGGCTGGTCGCCTTTGTCCCGGGCAGAATGCCGTTTCAAGAGAGTCAGCAGAGTCAGCCCTCAAAGACCTCTTCCCCAAGGCGGTACCACAAGATACTGACAGACGCTGTGGCAGCTTTGGAGGCAACTGCTGAATCCTCAGAGATCGTTTGCATCCGTATCTATAGATTGATGCAGAAACCTTCCATTCAAAGTCAGAATTATGAGCCCAGGCTCAAGACCATCGAGAACTGCAAGATTGGCTGAAGCAGCTTGTCGCGCTTGGAGTGAGACTAGATTATAGTTGAGGTTTGGAGATACAGGCTGCGCCAAATAAAGCAGCAAGGCATCTTTTGTTCTATTTAATTGCCTTCGGCAAGCCCGCCGGCCATAGAGAGGTGGCCCCAAGGGAGTTTGATGTGCACTCTAGGTGGAAGCCCGCGAGAGAAGCAGAAGAGAAAAGAAGTAGAAGAAGAATTGAAGAATAAGAAAGGAAGACGAAGACAAAGCCGTAAAACGGAAGCGGCTTGTGTAGCAAGTGCTGGCTGTAACAACCTATTGATCGTATACCAAATTAGTACCGCCCCCAGCAAAGTAGCGCCACGTACTATGTATGAGCCTCTGGCTTGACAGCAGACCGCATCATGGAAGGAGACAGGGTGGAAGCGCAGAGAGATTGCCCCAAGGGAAGTTGATGTGCACGCTAGGTGGAAGCCTGAGAGAGAAGAAGAAGAGAAGAGAATAAGAAGAGGAAGAAGAGGAAGAAGAGGAAGAAGAAGAAGAGACGGAGACAGAGCCGTAGATCAGAAGCAGCTTGAGCAGCAAGTGCCTGCTTGAACAGCTGAGGGACCGCATACCGAATGCGTACTGGTCGATCAGTTTAGTACCGTGTGCGTCCTGTGACGAGTACCTGTAGACAACTGCAATGCTGTAGGCAGTGTCATTAGCCACCGCACTACCAGTTTAGTACTTGGGGAAGAAGGGAAGGAGTAGAGGTAGGAGAAGTAGGAGTAGTAGGGGTAGTAGGAGCAAGTAGGAGTAGTAGGAGTAGTAGGAGTAGTAGGAGCAGTAGGAGTAGTGGGAGTAGTGAAGTAGCAGGAGTAGTAGGAGTAGTAGGAGTAGTACGAGTAGTGGGAGTAGTGGGAGTAGTAGGAGTAGTAGGAGTAGTAGGAGTAGTAGGAATAGTAGGAGTAGTAGGAGTACGGGTAGTAGGAGTAGTGGGAGTAGTAGGAGTAGTAGGACTAGTAGGAGGAGTAGTTGGAGGAGTAGAAGGAGTAGTAGGAGTAGTAGTAGTAGGAGGAGGAGGAGTAGTAGTAGGAGTAGTAGTAGTAGAAGAAGTAGTAGTAGTAGTAGGAGGAGGAGTAGTAGTAGTAGAAGTAGTAGAAGTAGAAGTAGAAGTAGAAGTAGTAGTAGTAGTAGGAGGAGGAGTAGTAGTAGTGGTGGTAGTAGTAGTAGTAGTAATGGTAGTAGTAGTAGTAGTAGTAGTAGTAGTAGGAGTAGGAGTAGGCGCAGGAGTAGTAGTAGTAGTAGTAGTAGGGAGGAGTAGTAGTAGTAGTAGCAGTAGTAATAGTAGTAGTAGTAGTAGCAGTAGCAGTAGCAGCAGTAGTAGCAGTAGTAGCAGTAGTAGCAGTAGTAGTAGTAGTAGTAGTAGGAGGTGTTAGTAGTAGTAGGAGGTGTTAGTAGTAGTAGTAGTAGTAGGAGGTGGTAGTAGCAGTAGGCAGTAGTGGTAGTGGTAGTGGTAGTGGTAGTCGTGGTAGTAGTAGTAGTAGTAGTAGTAGTCGTAGTCGTAGTCGTAGTCGTAGTAGTAGTAGTAGTAGGAGTGGGAGTGGGAGTGGGAGTGGGAGTAGGAGTAGGAGTAGGAGTAGGAGTAGCTAGCAACCCATTGGTTCCATCATCCCAGTGCCAGGGGATTTCCTTGTCATAACATTTCCTTGTCATAATCTCCCGGCCCCATGGAACATATACGCATACTTCTATTAGGGGTTTCAATTAGGGTTTACACAAGTTATAAAGTCTCCCGGCCCCATGGAACATATACGCATACTTTTATTAGGGGTTCATTTAGGGTTTACATAAGTTATAAAATCCCCCGGCCCCATGGAACATATACGCATACTTCTATTAGGGGGTTCATTTAGGGTTTACATAAGTTATAAAATCCCCCGGCCCCATGGAACATATACGCATACTTCTATTAGATCTATTAGGGGTTTCATTTCGGGTTTACACAAGTTATAAAATCCCCGGCCCCATGGAACATATACGCATACTTCTATTAGGGGTTCATTTAGGGTTTACACAAAAGTTATAGAATCCGGACTCGCCAAAAAAGTGGAAAAGATTGAAAACGTGGAAAAGATTGAAAAAGTGGAAATGGCCGAAACGCGTGAAGTCCGCAGAAGGTTCACTTTTCTGACTGATTTTTCCAAAAATTCGTCTTAGACCACGCTAACTCACACATGTACCAGAGTCATAAAACACTGCGCTTGCGCAGAGAAATGAGCCTCCCACTGACGTTCATACGACCATTCCGGGACAACCCTCAGTCCTGCCCGTAGGAGTAGGAGTAGGAGTAGGAGTTGGAGTAGGAGTAGTAGTAGTAGGAGTAGTAGTAGGAGTAGTAGTAGCAGTAGCAGTAGCAGTAGTAGTAGTATGAGGAGGGAAAGGGGGGAGGAGGGGAGGGGGGGTGGACTTGGTTCAGACGAAGCAAAAACGTGCAGCAAGAGAACAATGGAACACGTATAAGCCAAGAACAGAAACAAGAACGACACCTTCCAATCAGACACGTCGGCAGGCCGGCGGATTCTTTGCTGGTGACACAGTTGTTTTAAAACAGTCTATATATCTTGGGAAAACAAAGAAGAGCATTGCACCTGAATCCCTTTCAGGCACATCAGAAAGAAGGTTCGAGCTGCTCAGTTGCCGGGAGGACGTGAGGAAGTCAAGGAGGCCGTTTGCCAAATTTGCCATTTCGTTTTTTAAACGACATTTTCATCATTTCATCATTTTCATCTCACATTGAACCAAGTCTCCACTTGCAAATCTCCCCCTATACGTGCTGGTGGGCTGGTAAGCACAGGTCTTGACCCAAGTCCTGGGTGGCTGGGACAAGGAGGACACGACTCCGTTAGACGTGAAGACATCGTGAAACATCGTCAAACCACGTTGAATTTGTAGACTCAGAGTGGAGAACGGCAGCACCGTAGCAGCGAGATTGCAGGATCCAATGACATCTTTGGTGCTCGAAAACCGGGAGAAGTACATAGCCGCGCTGCAGGCCATTTTTCAATATGCTAATATATGCTACATTTTTTTCATCGGAATTTCCTGAAAAACCAGAATGCGACGCCTCACATGCTTGTACAGTTTAAGTGTGTCTTGCTTCACCTATGGTTGACGCTACATGCTTTCTACAAATCCAGTGCTTGCCACACAGCGCCTGAAGTGTGGACTATATTGTTTATTGCTTACTATTGCTCAGTATATCATCCAGGGGTGTATGTTTCCCAGAATATCATGTGTGGCAATTAGCAAACTGCTTGCTGTTTGTGTTGCATCATTGTGCGCCTTGGGTTTGTAAGAAGTGCGGTTCGAAACCTGGCTCTGTTGAATCAGTTAGCTCGACTGGGTTCTGCTTATCAAAGGAATGGTCGCAAGTGCTCAGATTCCCTATGCAAGGACTCCACACAACGACCTTTCATTGTCCCTTGCCCAGAGAGGCCCAAAGAGCAAGAGCCCAAGAGCCCTGCTATTTGCATCTCACCGGAGTTGGGACGCAGATTTCGATGCTGCCATGGCTGCGTATTCCAAGGTCGAAATGGCAATGTCACCTGGACCAGAATGCGCGACACATAGCTGTCAGGAGACGACTTGTTTCATGGACTCAAGTGACTCAAGTCATACAAATTCGCCGTTCGAATCATTCGCCCACTTGAGTGGTGCACAGTTCTGCACAGTTCTGCGCAGTTCTGCACAGCCTGGGCACTGAATGGCACTGAGGTGTTGATGTGCTCCTTGTTTGACCTTCTCTTTGAAGTCCTGGGTGTAGTCGGCCCAGAGTGGCACAGTGATGTACGGTCACAGTGCACAGAGTGCACGGAGAGTCAAGGGGTGGCCACATTGGCAGATGTCGTTTGAATGGCTGAGGCCGAGTTATTGCTACGAGAAGATGTCGGAGAAGACTCTGAAGGGCGCGATACTTTGGGTGTATGACATGAGTATACACAAGTAACATTGAGTATACATTGAGCACAACATTCTGAGCAACTGGAGTAACTGAGCAAGTTGCGAATTTTGACCAACGCCAATTTCAACCTGAGTTTGAGTTTGCACTCTCGCATCGGAGGCCTGAAATTCCATTGATGAGACGCATGTCCCTTCCGATGGCCATGGAGCATGCAAAGAAGATGGTCAATGGGGAGTCAGAACCTTAGGACATTTTGATACATTATGTTGATTTCAATGGGTTTCTTGTTTTTTTCTCTGAAGAGCTGACAAGAGAACCTGCCCACCTCTGGAAGGCTGCAACACTTGACGTCTTGGAAACTCCTTTGGCCGTAGCTACAGGGTCCTGCAGATATGGACATTCCAAAATTTCGAAATGAAACTGCTTAGTCATGAAACTGGGGTCCCATCAGATGATTTCACCATTTTGGAATCGGTTCCATGTTCGATTTGAGAGTTGTGGTGCCTCCCTCACTTAGGTGCCAGATTTCAGACACAGGCACCTATGCTTTGCTCTACTCTGTCAAGGTCTTAGCCAACTTCAGAAGCCCTCGTCTGATGCAATCCTTGTTTGTCTTCGTTCATTTCGTTCAGTTTCTTCATTTCGTTCAGTTTCTTTGATGCTGGCACATTTAGCACCATTGTTGTGTGTTGGGCTGTTCAGGTCTTCACACGCAGCGTTGCTGTGAAACTTGGACGTGCCAAAGAAGTGAATTATCAGCCTGGAAACTCAAGAAATCATTGATACCGGTGTGTGGGAGTGAAGGGATGACTCATTCCAATGCTGGACCTTCGGCAAATTGAAACAATATGATTTAAGGATTTTTTTTTTGAGATTCTCTAATATTTTGTGATGTTTTCTTATTTGGTGCCTGGATTCAAGTGGTTCCCCACCTGCCAGGTGAGGGTTGTTAGATTTTATATCAGTTGCCTCCTCCTCCTTCTCCTCCTCCTCCTTCTCCTCCTCCTCCTCCGCCTCCTCCTGCCTCGTCCTCCTCTCCTCCTCCTCCTCTCGTTGTCCTCCTCGTCCTCCTGCTCAACTGCGACTCGCGATCCACAGTGTTCGCTGTCGGACCTCAACCACGACCATCCACGCCCAGTGTTCCCTGCCGGACCTCAACCACGACCATCCACGCCCAATGGTCCCTGCCGGACCTCAACCACGACCATCCACGCCCAGTGTTCCCTGCCGGACCTCAACCACGACCATACACGCCCAGTGTTCCCTGCCGGACCTCAACCACGACCATCCGCGCCCAGTGTTCCCTGCCGGACCTCAACCGCGAGTATCCATGTCAAGTGTTCCCTGCCGGACCTCATGTAGGAATGTCAGATAGACTGCCAGATAGAATGCCAGATAGAATGTCAGATAGGATACCAGATAGAATGCCAGATAGAATGCCAGAAAGAATGCCAGAAAGAATGCCAGATAGAATGCCAGATAGAATGTCAGATAGGATGCCAGATAGAATGCCAGATAGAATGCCAGAAAGAATGCCAGAAAGAATGCCAGATAGACTGCCAGATAGAATGTCAGATAGAATGTCAGATATAATGCCAGATAGAATGCCAACATATATGCCAGAATATATATGTCAGATAGAATGGCAAAATATATGTCAGATATAATGCCAGATAGAATGCCAGAATATATGCCAGAATATATTTCAGATAGAATGCCAGAATATATGTCAGATATAATGCCAGATAGAATGCCAACATATATGCCAGAATATATGTCAGATAGAATGCCAAAATATGTCAGATATAATGCCAGATAGAATGCCAGAATATATGCCAGAAAATATGTCAGATAGAATGCCAGAATATATATCAGAATAAATTATAGGTAGAATGCCAGAATATATGTCAGATGAAATGTCAGAAAATATGTCAGATAGAATGCCAGATAGACTGCCAGATAGAATGCCAGGTGGAATGTCAGGATATATGCCAGATAGAATGCCAGAATATATGCCAGAATATATGTCAGATAGGATGTCAGAATATACTAAATATATGTCCAAATATACGTCCCTGCCATGTCATGGTGGGGATCACACGAAGTAGAGTAATGCAAAGTGGTGCATTGTTCAGAGCTCCCTCACTCTGCTGGCCAGGCACCAGCACTCCTTTGGAGAACTCCTGCTGCAGTTGACTCCTGGAGCCACAAACTCAGAGATACTCAGAGCATCTCAGAGAGATCAGAGCTCTCCGACTTTCTGTTACATCAAACTTGGCACCTTGATCGACACAAAGTTGGCACTCGGAAAATCTCGGAAGCAAAAGGTCAAGAAGTTCAAGAAGGAACTTTTCTGCCACACAAAACTCCATTCCGAGTAGTCGAGCCATGTCTATATAGTCTAGAATGAACATGAACAAACTGTGCCGGGCATTCGAGAGCAACACATTTAGGCCCGCAACCACGGCATCCTCAATTCGGTGCTGCACATCCTTGCGTGAGACTCAGCACTGAAGCTTTGAGCGCATTCACGGGGCTTTCAGTATGCAGTATGTGCTATACATATTCATAGAATTATAGATTAAAAATATGATATAATATAAACGGTTGGACACCTAGAGTCCGCGTATGTTCCTTGCTCCCATGCGGTTTGCAATGCAGAGTTGTATGAAGTTGCATGAAGTTGCGTTTGGAAAACTGATGATTCCAAGAGTGGAATAACCAGCAACTTTCTACTGCTCATGTAAAAAGCCGCAAATTGACCCTGGAGCCTGTAGCGTTGAGTTCAATTGAATTGAGTCAACTAGACTTTGAAAGCAGCAAGGCTTTGAACCCAGAGACTGCGGCAGCGTGAGCCTTCTCAGCTGAAGCTTTGGAGTTCAACCTACAGTGTCCAAGAGACAGTTCGTTTCACAATGTAACAATGCAATTCTACCCAAGGCTGGTCTTGCCCTCCAAACTCACAGCCTGTTGACTATTTTAATACACCAGTACTGTGCTTTTCAAAAGGGACTATAGAGACCGCTGAATGCCAGAGGATGCCTCAGCTTACAAAGCCGAAGAAGGTGCGACTGGTCAAGCAATGGAAGGCCTGGGTGTTGGAGTGCACTTTTGCTGCAGGATCCAGGATCTGAAATGGGAAATGAAACACGTGCGGAGACAGCACTGCTTGGAACGTCTTAGCAAGTGTGAGTCGCTGCCTCTGGGTTTGCATTGAACTTTCAGTCAAGTTGTTGTTGATATATTTTATATAATGTTGAAGGCACAGCTTGTCTTGGTAAGGGAAGACAAACAACCTTTATAACTATATAGAATCCTTTTGAACTTAAGATACTGGTACCTCAAGATTAGAACAGGTTAGGTTTGAAGGACACACGTGCGGTGATGTAGTGATCCTGGCTCTAGAGTCTAAACTTCCTTTGGGTATACGGTATGCGGATGTATGCGGTATGCCTCTCGGCGAGGCAAAATTGAGTCAAATCCAAAAGAGCTTGCTGGATGCAGCGTATGGGTGGAGAACTCTGACTGTTCACATCACTCTGTTGTGACACGCCATGAATGAAAAGAAATGAACAGACATGAGCAGAAATGACAAGACATGCAAAAACATGGACAAACGAAATGAGCTGATCACTTGGGCTCTTGGCTCTTCTTGGCTCTCCTTGGCTCTTCGATCATGGGCTCCTGGAGCCGAGGTTGCAGCTCCAATGGCCTCCTCATCCCAAGGACTTCGGAGAACTGCCGGTTCCAGTCCAAAGCTAAGGATATGGAAAAACGGAACTCGTAAGACTCGTAAGACTCGTAAGACTAGTAAGAGTTGTGGGCCAACTTTTCTCAATTCTTTAAAATCTTTAAAGATTTTCAAATCTAATGCAACCAGACCCAGAACATTGAGACGCCGCTTTAAGTTCTTTTGCAAAGCCGCCTCTTTTTTTTTCCAGCAAGACCAAGACAGACAGACAAACAACTGCTTGTTGCATCTTGTTTCTAGTTCTTGGAAATGGTTGAAGATCTGACACTTGTAGCACTTGCAGACCTGCAGGTACATTGTGAAGTTGCAAACATCTACATGGAACTCCCACCAAGCACAATTGGAGGCGCACTCCACGCAGCTTTGCATAGCTTTGCATAGCTTTGCATAGCTTTGCATAGCTTTGCACAGTTTTGCATAGCTTAGCTTTGCCTTTGTTGAAAAGCTTTCTTTGTCGATTTTGTCGCACAGAGGCCTGAACCCTCAGCGCCTCTTCAACTTGCGTGGTGGTTGGGCAGCTCTCGGTCGAAGGCGCGAAGATGAAAAGAAGAAAACGCAGGAAGCTGGCAGGAAACACATGGAAGCACAGTAAAAGCATCTCACAGCTAAGATGAAGGTGTTTTTCTTCCCCGAAAAGATGAAGTTGATAAAGTGCGAAACCTTGATCAAGTTTGATCGAGTCGTGCTGACTGCCAGGCCTGTCAATGTGGGTCTGGGCATCTGGCCTCAGCACAGCAATTGAGTGACGCAAAGTGCCAGCCTGGATGACCAAAGGTAGACGATGTCAATGCAAGTCATGAGAGGCATTGATTGAGGCAGATTGACATGTCTACTGTGGCGGACTTGCACTTAGAATATGGAAAAATCATTGATTAGCTCATTGCACTTAGAATATGTTAAATCGTTGCACTTAGAATGTTTTTAACAAAAAATAGTGAAACAACTAACAAAAACCTTACAAACAACCAAGGATTTACTCGTAGCACTTAGAAGATGAAAATCAATGAGAAAACCAAGGAGAACTAAAGAAATTAATGAACACATCAATAACACCAATAAAAAACCATTGAAAAAACGCATGAAACCCAATGAACAACAAATACACACCAATGTAAAATCAACAAAACCCTACTATATTGTAATGAAAACAATATTGCAGTACTGTACTGTACTGTATTCGTACTGTACAATTGTGTACTGTACTGTAGTATGTGCACAAAAACATCTAAGAGGCACAGCCAGCCAGCCAGCCAGCCAGCCAACCAAGCAGCCGGCCGGCCGGCCGGCCAAAAACGAAGCCAATACAGAAGCATCCAGGCAGCCGGCCGGCTGGCCGGCCGGCCGGCCAAAACATAAACTGAGTCCGGCCGGCCGGCCGGACATGGGTCATACACACGCCTAGCTGGCCGGCTGGCCGAACTCAACACAGACTGGCCGGCCGGCCGGGCAAGAAATAGCAGGACGAGTTCCCCGCGCAGTCTTTGTTTTAGTAACGTTTTCATATTTTGAGTGCAACGTTGTTTTCTGAGTTTTCCCAATGAAAATTGAATTTAACATCTATGATTTTTGATAAATGTTCATTTCACAATCTCAGTGCATTTTTTAAATTCTAAGTGCAGCGTTGTTGCACTTATATGGTCTATATTCCAAGTGCCAAATTTGCTATACACTTAGAATATTCTAAGTGCTGGTCCGCCACTGTAGACGCATTGGCAGTAGGTGCTGAAAATAGGGACAAGCAAACGTATATTTCATGACAATGTATGCTAATAATGTAACAAACAAAACAAGTGCTATTCACGGACGTTCACACAACCAACACACTTTGACCCATGAAAGAATCTGCTACTTTAGCACAACAAGGAGTCGAGAGGGAACGAGAGGAACCGATTCAATGTGATTTCAATGCAATGAGCAGACTCCACACGGAGATGTGGGCAACTCAGCTCAAGGCTGCAGCTGGAGGCCTTTGCGAGCATCAAAACTACACACGGTCGGGAACCTGACAGCAGAAACCATGCAGATATCTGGGCAGACATGCCGTGCCAATGCTGTCCTTCAAAAAAGAACTCTTCCACATGACAGGCTTGCAATCAGTTGCCAACTACAAGTATCCCAAAGTGATTTTCTTAATAAACTTTTCATCAGCTAAATGACAACAGCATTTCCAAGACACAATCTTTTCAATTTATCTTAATTTATCGTTCTCCTTGTTTGAGGTCAGTGCAGCTGATTTGGATGCTTTTGCATCACGACCATTGCACGCATTGGTGGAAAAGCACCCTTTGGCTTGTCCTTGGTTGCTTGGACATTTGGCAACAGAGACTCCCCACCACGGCAAAGTCACATTTAGCTTTAGCACTTTGCTGCGTTTCGTGATCGCTTCGCAGCGAGTTTACAGTTTGTGAAAGATGATCTGCCAGGCACATTCGCTTCGACGATCCAGCAGAAGAGGCTCGTTTTTTCAACCCAGAGTAGGTTCTT